GGAAACCCTGTACAGGGTCTCTATGAGTTGGAACCGATCCACTGCACGTAACAACAACATATATACATAATTTTGAAGAGAAACATTCTGTGCAGGTTGATTTTTTAATATTATGTATTGATAAAATTTGTTTCACTTAGCCTCTGTTTTTTCACTGTTCTGAACTTCTAAACTGCCACCTTTGTACTGTCTAATATCTAAGGATGATTGTAACGATCGTAGCTTCAAATGAGGGGTCCAGGCCAACACTAGACTTCAGCTGCTGTTGTTGTTAAGTGCCATCAAGTCTGTTCTGACTCATAGCGACCCTGTATAGGGCTTCCAAAGATTGTCTGGTGAGTTTGAATCACCGACCTTGTGATTCAAACCGATGATGTGGTCCAATGCTGCATCCCATAGCACCACACCGGGACTCCCAGATGTTGAGTAGGTGATTGGAAAATGTAACTGGGAGTCTGCATGGAAACTTAGAAACCCAGCATCTTATTAGAGATTTAACTCTACAATTAGTATCAAAATTTGATGGAATCTTCATTTAAGTGATCTTTTAATTAATGTTTTTGGCTTATGCATTTTACGCTTATAAATACTACAAAAAGTGACAACAATAGAAAATGGGACACTTTTATTGGGCTTGGAGAAATCACAAGAAGGTTTTTCAATGAGAAGGTGACCTTTTATGTAAATACCTTTATAAGTCATTCAGCACTATTTTTTACTCTAGTATTATTGAAACAACCCACATAGATGAAATTCCCTGTTCTACACTTTCAGCATATATGGTTTATGGAAGAATTTTCTAAATGCTTTAAACTTCAGGCTTTAATTTGAAAAATCCAAACTTAGTGAAGAAAAATTCTGTAAAATATTTGTATCTTATATAATAAAACACAGGGTCTAGCAAATGGCAGAAACTTTATTGTTTATGTTGCTGTTGTTATGTGGTGTCAAGTCTATTGTGATTCATAGCGACCTTGTATGCTAGTGGGTTTGAACTGCCCACTTTGTGTTTAGCAGTCCAGTGCTTATTCTACATTAGTTATTATTGTTTTAAATTTCCCCTAGAATGTAGTATGCCATAACAAGTTTACTTCCAGAGCCAAGCCCAATTCCATTGTTATTCATGGATAATTCCCTTATCTTCAGATGTTCCCTTTGTGTTTTCTCCTGCAGATTTCAAGAGAGAGAGAAAAAAATGAAAAACTATACAGAAATAACAGAGTTTATCCTCTTGGGATTGTCAGATGACCCAAAGATTCAGGTTGTGATTTTTGTCTTTCTGTTCATCACCTACCTGCTGAGCATCACTGGGAACCTGACTATCATCACCCTGACCTTGCTGGATTCCCATCTCCAGACCCCCATGTATTTCTTCCTCAGGAATTTCTCTCTATTAGAGGTTTCATTCACAACTGTCAGTATACCCAAGTTCCTGGGTGCCATTCTTACAGGAGATAAAACCATTCCCTTTAATGATTGTATGGCTCAGTTATTTTTCTTTATTCTTTTGGGAGTTACAGAGTTTAATCTTCTGACTGCCATGTCCTTTGACCGCTATGTGGCCATCTGCAAACCTCTGTATTACACAACTATCATGAATCATAAAGTCTGTACACTGCTTGTCTTCACTTCTTGGCTGACCTCATTCTCAATCATATTCCCATTAGTTATGCTATTTATACAGCTTGATTACTGTAAGTCCAATATTATTGAACATTTCACCTGTGATTATTTTCCCTTATTGCACCTTTCCTGTTCAGACACAAAACTCCTAGAGTTAACAGGTTTTTCCTGTGCTGTATTTACTCTACTGTTCACTTTGGCATTAATAATTCTCTCTTATATACAGATCGTCAGAACAATTTTGAGAATTCCTTCTACTAGTCAGAGGACAAAGGCCTTTTCCACTTGTTCTTCCCACATGATTGTCATCTCCATCTCTTATGGCAGCTGTATTTTCATGTATATTAACCCATCAGCAAAAGATAGGGTGTCTTTGAGCAAGGGAGTAGCTGTGCTAAACACCTCAGTAGCCCCCATGCTGAACCCCTTTATTTACAGCCTAAGAAACCATCAAGTTAAGAGAGCCTTCATGGACATGGCCAGGAAGGTTGCATTTTCTCTAAGCAAATGAAAAAATTAGATGCCGTCATAAATTAGAGGCATGATGAAGAACAATGAAATAAAAAACAGTGCTTTTCAAAATCTGTTATTAAAATCTACGTGGTCTCCCTAGACTATTTTTCATTTCTTAAACATTTGTTTCAATCACTTGACAAGGTTTTCTTTTTTTTAAAATAAATACATATAACTATTGATGTTTATATAGATGCATATATACATATAAAGAAGGAACTCTGTAGCAGTGGTTACACATCGGGCTGCTAATCTCATGGTCAACAGTTCGAATACCAGTGGCTCCATGGGAGAAAGATAATGCTTTCTGCTCTTGTTAAGATTTACAGCCTTGGAAATCCTATAGAGGGTTGATATGAGTTGGAACTGACTCCACGGCTCATAACCACCATACATATAAAGTGGCTTCAAAAAGCTTGTGGAAAAAAATAGGATGAAAAGATAATAGAAATAAAGAAAGAAATTAATTTTTTTTAATAATACAATTTTCCCTGAACTTTATATGCTCCCCACATATGTATTTTTCTCCCCATTCAAGTATCAGTCATCTCTCATGTACTTCTCTTAGGTGCTTGTTTTATGTTGTTGATTTTACTTCCTAACTATGAAACTGACTTATTTTTCTTATTCTAAGCATAAAATGTTGTTAAGTGCTGTCTGAGTCGATTTTGACTCATAGCTACCCTGCATAAATTTCTGAGGAGCCACTGGTGGGTTTTAACTGCCAACTTGTGGTTTGCAGTCCAGTG